CGGGGCCAGGGTGAGCAGGGTGGGGGACCGGGGCCAGGGCCGATCTTGTCAGGGCTGAGGGGCCAGCGGGTCACCCCCTTCCCTGAGACCTTACAGCGGTGTGCGCCTTGCATTCCGGGATTGAGGTCCTTGGACTGGGGAGTGTTTGAAGAGTTGAGAGATCGGGTGAGAGTGGCAAGGTTAGTGGCGTGGAGCTTTTCCAGAGGTGCTAGATGAGAATCGACAGTGTGGATGGTGGCCTCCAGTTGTCTCAGCCCTTTAGGTTTGCAAGCAGTGGAAGGATGGTAGGGACCTACTTGTCGTAGCGACTACGGAGCATCTAGGAGCGGTCAGGCACCGCTAACAGTGGTCACCACCCCACTTTTCCCCGAAGGAACCTTGAACACGGGGCACACTGGGATTTCCTAGTGGGCAAGGAGGCTGAGGTGGCAGAATGGGCCCCAGCAGGTAGTGAGTGCTGTCAGTGTGAGGCCGGTGGGGCTGGGGGCAGTGTTTCTGATGTCCAGGATCTACCGGGCTGGTAGGGCATGAGTCACAGTGGGCACCATGCCCAGCCTGAATACTGTGCTTTCTGCAATGACCTCTTTATGCTCCTGGGGGGAGGAGCAGGACTCCTGGGTTCTAGTTCCTAGTGTTGCCAACCCACCACTCTTGCACTTGGGTCTAATCTGTAGCCTAGGGCCATCTGCCTTTCTATCATTAGTTGGTATTTCTAGATGTCTCTTTCCTGACATGAGGGTGGCTGTGTTTGGAAATAGATTTGAGCCAGGGGAATTTAATCAGTAGTGTCCCTGGGCCCCCTGAGTGTTTCCCTCTTCTTCTCCTTGTCTCTGTGGCTGCATTAGAGAGATAGAGTTGGGGTTGTTTGTGAGCAAATTCAATTGCCTTTCTAATTTTCATTGCTGGGTCTTTCTGTTTTTATATCTATCACCTCCCTTCCCCCAGTGTTATCCCGGGTCAGAGGGGAGGAGAGGAAATATGTATGTATAATGCATGAAGGATTGCGGTTAAATCTAAGGAAGAACTTCCTATAGGGGAGTTGCCCGTTCTAGCAGGGTCTGTGGTGTCTCCTCTTCAAGCTGGGGTGTGGCAAGGGGATTACTGACATTCCCAGGGGCCTAGTTGGAAGAGGTGGAGGAAGGGGGCCTGGAAGGAAAGAACAGAGGAAAGAGAGAGGCAGAGATAAGGGAGGGGGTGCCAGTTCTGCTTGGGTTAGGAGGGAACTGTGAGAGGAAGGCAAGCCCACTGTCCTGGATTACAGGCAGGTGCCCCCAGGGAGTGGCACCCCCAGGCAGCTGGCAGCTCCAGGCAGGATATGTACAGGGTAAGAGGCGGGGGGCGTGTGGGGACCTGTCCCAGCCACTTCTCATCACCGGGGCAGCTGGTGGCTTAAACCTTAATCCAGGACACTAGCAAAACAATGGGCCCTGCAAACAGCCTCAGCTCTGAGCCTGGGTGAGGGGTGGGCAGGGGGCCCGCCCACACTGGGGAGGAACAGGGGTTTCTGTAGGAGGGGCAGCGAAGGGGCTGGTCCCCCAGGTCCTCTTCTCTCCCTGATCAGTTCCTTGCCAGCTCAGCAGAGATAGGAAATCCAGGGGATTTCAGACAGCAGAATTTCCAAAGAATTTTCTCTTTGTTCCCTGGACCCCCATGGGGTGTGGGAGTCAGTGGAGGAGACCAGGCTTTAGTGACAAGTAGGAGCTGATGGGACACCATTGGATTTCCTGTCTGATTCTGGCTTCCTGTACTGGGGTGGACCAGTTTTTGCTTGGACTCTTCTGGGGATGGGGAGCTCACCACCCCAAGTCTGCGCCAGACTGTATCACATCTCGTATTAGATCACGTGTTAGAAACTCAGCCTCCTTGTACCTTCTACCTGGCTCTGTCATCTGGGATAAGGGCTGGGTACGAGTGCTGGCTGGGCCTCAGTGGGATGTGTGAACAGGAAGGTGGGTTGAGGCTTGGATGAACTTCTTAGCATACTTGCACTGGGGTGACAGGTGTTTTGGGGCTTCCTCCAACTATTGGAAGGGGAGTTTTACAATGAAGTGCAACCTCCTTTCCCCAGAACTGGGGGGCTTCTTTCCTCAGTCCCCAGGCCCCCAGTCTTTCTCCCCTTAGTGCAGGCTCCTGCTAGAGCCAAGGACTACTGAGGATGCTGAGGAGGTCGAGGGCTGCTAAGGGTATGGGGGAGGCTTTTTGCTACTTAGGGCTTTGGCTGAGGGGTGACAGTTTCTGCTGACTGACGAGGGAGGGCGGGCGGGCAGGGGGAGGCCTCCTGGCTTTTCCTGTGACAGCTTCTCCTCGGCTCCCTTCATCTCCATTTGGTCACCCTGTGTAATTTCTCTAATGCCCTCCGATCACCCACTGGTCTCTGTGTCCAAGAAGAAGACCTGAAGGGAGTCTTCCTCAGACAGTCTGTCCTCCTCTGCCTTCTGCCCCAGAAACAGCCCCTTGTGCTCCACTAAAGCCTTGATTTCAGATCTTGGGGAATCCCAAGTACTTTAGCAGGTTGGAAGAGGGAACCCCCCCTCCGCCTCCGCCACTTTCCTGTGAATAAGCCAGGCCTGTGGGCTGGACTCTGGGACTTCAGGAAGTCCCTTCAGTTGTCTGATGTCCCGTCTGCTCTCTTGCAACTCTTGGTCCTCATGTGTTCCCGAAGCATATGTCTGTGTGTTTGTCTGTGTGTAGGTGTGTCTCTGGGCTTTGTGCATGAGTAAGACTGTGCTTATGTGCCTGTGTGTGTGTCCATGTAAGCATATATGTATGCTCATCCACGTGTGCATTTTCATGTGCGCTTGTCTGTGTGTTTGTGGCATGTTCTATCTGCACAAGGGTATGTGACTGTGTGTAGGTGCATGTCTGTATGTGCCCATGTGTCTGTGTGTATGTGTGGGTGTGTGAGAGTTGCAACTGTTCAGAGAGCAGCAGACCTCTCCTGCATGGGAAGGCTGTGTGTGCAGCACCTGGTACATAGTAGATGCTCATCAAATGTTTGCTGAACTGAAAGAAGGCCTGGTTTACAGCCAGTTATTCCCCTAGGGGTAAAGGCATCAAGAGGAGGCTGAGGTGAAAACAAGGAAGAACTCTTGAGCTGATGGTGGTGGGAGGGGAAGGAGTCGGGGGGTAGGAAGAGGTCAGGCAGAAAGGCTTTCTGGGGCTTCAGACCCTGACAGTCCCTCTCAGGTCCTGGGCTGGAGGCAGGGTGCAGAGGTCTGAGGGCTGGGCATGCAGCACTCATCCTGTCTCCCTGTGCTCCCACAGCTGCCTTTGGGCCCACGAGATGGGTGCTCTCCTGGGCGCCCCCTCCCCTGGCAGGGGCCGAGGACACTGCTGCTGCACAAAAGTCTCCAGGATGGCTTTGGTTTCACCCTGCGCCACTTCATCGTGTACCCACCCGAGTCTGCCGTGCACTGCAGCCTGAAGGTATGCCTAGCTCTCCGCTGTCCTCACTGTCCCTGGGAAGCTTGATGGGGGAGAGTGATTCCTTTGCCCACTAGTCCCTCTCAGAGAAGAAGTCTTTCCTGGGACTGCTGACTCCCTTCTGCTGAGGCCTGGGAGGAAGGCTGCTGGGAGGCCGTGCCTGCTGGGGCTGGGACATTTGTACCATGGGACAGTGGTCAGAGCTCCTAACCACTGTGGCCTGGGTCTTCTCAGGAAAAGGGATGGTGGGGAGCCATAATGCTCCCTGTCCTACCCCCAGACCTGTTCTCTGGAAAGTGAAGAAATGCCTTGGGAAGATGGAGTTCCTGGGATTCTTGTTTCTAACCTGGGTCTGCTGTCCCTGTTTCCAGTCTGTGCCATCAAGGAACCTATCTCTCAACACATTTCCTTTTTTGAGGGGGTACCAGGGATTGAACCCAGAAGTGCTTAACCACATTTGGCCACATCCACATTTTGATGTGGCCAAAGAGCCACATCCTCAGCTCTTTTTTGCATTTTATTTAGAGATAGGATCTTGCTAGTAGCTTAGGATCTTGCTCGTACTTAGGGCTTCGATAAATTCCTGAGGCTGGCTTTGAACTTGTGATCTTCCTGTCACAGCCTCCCAAACCACTGGGGTTACAGTTGAGTGCCACCATGCCCGCCTGGCTCAACACACTTCTGAGACTCCTCCCAGAGTGCCCCAGACCCATGTTGGCCACAGCTCTATATGCTGGAAAGGGAAGGTGGCACAGGATTTTAGTCCTTGTACAACTCCCAACTCATTGTGGGGTCCAGGCTGTCTCTCCTCCCTGGCTCTTTCTCCTGCAGTAACCTTAGGGCATGTGTTGCCTTGATCACTAGGAGCCCTTCTCACTCTAATATAAATGTCAAGTTCAGAAACAAGCCCCCTCAGTCCAACCCAAGGCTGAGGGCTGAGAGGGAAGGGCCTGGAGAGTGCAGAGGAGTGGAGGAAGAGTGTAGAAGGTGATCTAGGCAGCAACCAGGGCTCAGCACCAGAGCCCTGCCCCTTCTTCCTCCTCTTTTCTTATAGAGGGGGAGACAGATTTATGTCCAAGTCAATGAACCCCTTTCTCCCCTTCCCCCAGGGCTGAGATCAGCCTGTACAGCTGTTGAGGGCTTCTCCCTTGGGGACCTTGGTCCCACCTGCCAGAGAACTAAGGCATTAGATTTCACTGTGTGCTTCCATGTCTCTGTGCATGCGTGTGAGCATGGTGTGCTGGGCATAGACTTGCACGTGTGTCTCTTGGTATGCGTGTAGGATCTGTGAATCCATGGCATGTGCACATGTCACTGTGTAGCTCTCACTCATGCCTGAATCTGGGGTGCCTGCAGAGCCATTATTGGCTGAAGCTGCATTGGGCACAGAGGTGGGGGCAATGGTGTGTGGCACTGCTCTATACTTTGAAGCACAAGAACACCAGCCCTGTAATTCCCCAGAACCCCCATCCTTCCTTCCCTTCTTCTTGGCCCCTGCCACCTTCTCCCAGGGGACCCTGCTGAGGGGTGACAGCAGCAGAAGCATGTGCAATAGTCCTTGTGGTGAGCTCTTCCTCCCCTGGAGGAAGACCAGGGGCAGGACCAACGAGGGAGGGCTCCATCCTTTTTCCAGAACCTGCACAGGGCTGGGAGGGGCCCTTGGCCTGGAGGCAGGAGGAGGCCGAGTGTTCCCCACCTTCCTGCTGCTGGCCTGGGAGCCTGCAGGGAGCCCAGCCGTCCAAACGCATCCGTCTGCCTTTGCCACCGGCCCTCTGCTGTCAGCTCACATCAGCTGGCATGCACCCCACCAAGGAGGCAGGGCAGAGGACCTGCTCTCCAGCAGCACCCAGTGGCCTTCCTGCGGCCCACTGTGTCCTGGCTGGGTGCCAGTGAGTCCTGAGTTCCGACTCTGACTCTGCCAGTGAGTTTCTGATTGGCCTTGAACAAGTCACAGCCTGTTGTCTGTCAAATGGGTGTATCTGTGGAGAGTCGGACAAGATGGGGCTGAAGGCCCAATCCAGCTCTGAAATGCCATATTTTGCTGGTTTGGCCTTTCTGACCTCCTTTCCCTCAGTCCTAATTCTTCCCCAAAGCCACTGCCCTGTCACCTCCATAGGATTTGGTTCCCAGGGCCTCCCAGTGGACCCCCAGCACCTAGCTACCAGAATTCTCTGCCCTGCTGGTACCCATTCTCTTCCACAAAAGCACCCTCACCAGTTCCCTCTTCTCACCTTTCAAACCTGAATGTTTTAGTCTGATCTCTGTCACTTGTTGGTATTGACCTTCTCCTTTAACCTGGTGGATCCAGCCCTCACTTGCGCTTGTTGATTCCTGCCACCAAGCATTGCACACTCCATTCCCCTCCCCCAGAACACTTTCTCCCTGCCACTCTCAAAGCTGTCTTAAGATCCCCTGTCCCAGAGAACTGCTAATCAGTCCTTCCTGCTCATTCTGCCCCATTCTCTGAGAGCGATAGCACTGTTTGCACTTGTCACCCCCACTTATCTGTGTCTGCCTGGGTCTTCTGTGTTGAGTGAGTGGAACCTCCTCCCTTGACCTTGGATTTTCCCAAGGGAAGGGGACATGGGTCCCATGTGAATTGGGGTTCCCAGACAGCTAGGATGCTGGGGTGGTGGATTGGCCAGTGCTGGTTTGGCATGTTTCTGGGGAACTTGGCCTGGAAATTGGCACTCCAGCTGATAGCCCTCCCACCCCCTTGCTGCTGGCTAGTTGAAAGGAGATAAGAGGGAGCTTGGAGGGGCCCACCCAGTGAAGCTGGCCTTCCCTTGTGCTGCCCCTGCTGCTGAGGGCTAAAACCAGGGCCACACCCATTTCTCTGTTCCTTGCAGGAGGAAGAGAATGGAGGTCGAAGAGGGGGAGGAGGAGGAGGAGGAGGTAAGGAGGCCTGGGGGCCGGGCTGGCTGGACTCAGCCTCCAACATCTATTTCCCTTCTGTTCCCCGCAGTCCCCCCATCTGCCTCACTTCCACTAATGTTCCCGTCTTTCTCTTTTCCTGTGTTCCTGGCCTGGCCTACTCTGGGTCTCTTCTCCTCCCGCTCCGCCTTCTCTCTTTCCTCATGCTCATCTCCCTGTGGGCCTGTCCCTTCTGCAGATGTCTGATACCGTGGATGGCAGATGGGTACCTGCCACCTAGTCCCTGTCCTCCCTCTAGTTGCTTTCAACACAGACCAAGGCCCAGGTGGGACTGCAGGACCTGGGGACCAGTGGTAGGGTACACCAAGAAAAAGTGCTTCCTTGTGGATAGAGTGAGGTCCTGGAAGGAGAGGCGGGGGGGGGGGTGAAACCTTTGTTAGATGGGGGCTGAACTCCCTTGCTGTCACCCTTGCTTCCCCAAGGGTACCTTGCCAGATTCCAGGCTCCCCCCAGTATTTAAAGCACAACTCCCTAAGCAGGCAAACTTCCTGCCCTGCCCTGGGCTTCTGCAGGCAGCCGTGGGGACACTGTCTTCCTGAGTCAGAAGGAAGACATAGGCTGTGGGGGAGGAGTCAGCTGCTCTAGAACAGGCCTACAAACAGCAGAGAGTGTAGCTGCAGTGCAGCGCCCCCAAGCCCCCAGGGTTCCCAACCCTGGGGAAGGGGTGGTTGGGTGGGAGATGTGTTGGTGTGTCCCTAGGCCTGTGGTGTGGACATTTCTCTGTGTGTGTGTGTGTGTGTGTGTGTGCGCGCGTGCATGCGTGTCTCCCCTGCCTATATCTTCAGGATCTGATGATGTGGGCCTTTTACACGTCACCCTTTGGTTTGTCTTGTGATGTGGGTGTGCGCGTGCACGCGCTGAGGGGAGAGACTCTGTCTCCCTAAGTAGACAGTAGACAGTGAGCTCTGGAAGGTCAAAGACTACATCTCCACTTCCTAGGTAGCTTGGTTTCTAGAACATGATAGAGATGTGGTGGGCATTTAAGGGGCTTCTCTACGTGTTCGTGAAAGTTTTCACTCTCCTGCTGCGGCCTCTTGTCTGGCTCTGCATCTGTGGCCCTATTCACAGTGTCCTGTGGATGTGTGAGTCTGTGTATGCTTGTGTCCATGTGAATGTGATCATTCTCTGAGTGTGTGTCCCCTGTGTGTGTAACTGTGCATGGGTGTGACCTTCAGCAGCCACCCCCAGTTAACCTGGCTGATGCCCACCAGGACCCTCCTCCCGGCACCGCCTGGAGCCCATGGATACCATCTTTGTCAAGAATGTGAAGGATGATGGCCCTGCCCACAGGGCCGGGCTTCGCACAGGTGAGCTGACCTAGTTCCCTGGCTCACTGTACCCTCACTGTGGTTAGGGTGGGATTCTTGGGTCCAAGTTGTTGCGGAGGCCCTGTCCTCCCATTGTCAACCATACCTTGCACAGAGGTAGTCAATGGGGCCATTGATACCCCTTGACTCCTTACACAATCCCTACTCCTTGTCCACAGGAGATCGGCTTGTGAAGGTGAATGGGGAAAGTGTCATCGGGAAGACCTACTCCCAGGTCATAGCTCTAATCCAGAATAGGTGAGCATCCCCCGTCTTCCTCCTTCCATAGGAGATCCCAGCCCACCCTACCCCCTTGGTCCTAGTGGGCTAGGAATCCTGTTTTCCCAGATCTTCTTGTCTGACCCTCTGCCCTGTCTCTGTAGTGATGATACCCTGGAGCTGTCCATCATGCCCAAGGATGAGGACATCCTCCAGTTGGTGAGTCCTGTGGCTGTGGTCTGCATGGAGGCATCTGAGGCCAGAGGCAGCATATGGTCCTTCTCCTTAGGCCCTCACTCCTGCATTAGCCCCTGTGAAAGACAGAAGGAAACATAGCCTGACATTGCCCAATTGGGGCTGCCAGGCCCATCCCTGGGCTGGGGCTTGTTGTTGCTTCATTCAGGGATGCTCTGAGCTAGGGAGAGGGGAGGTGCTGGCCTTGGCAGGCAGGATTGCTGCCAGGGTATCTGGAAGGAGGGTGGCCTGGCGGGCTTTGCCAGACTGGCATGTTCTCATTAGCTCCTATGAGAGACGCCTGTTGCCCATGTCCCTCCCTGTCTGGCCCCAAGTGAGAGTATCTCTGTAGGCATTTACACATACACACACCAAATACCGCCCCCCCGCCCCAGTGCACTTATCACACTCCACCCTTGTCGTGGGCACCATTCATACACAGGCAGAACATACCAGGTACACAACACAGCTGCACAGTACTACCCTTCCTGTAACACACCATACTTTGCAGTATGCCGTGACACACATGCACCCCTCCAGGCCCAGGCCACAATATAGACAATCCTCAGTGCCACCTCAGTCCACCCTCAACATCACTATCTGCCACAATCCCTCTGCCTAATGCTCAAGACCTCACGACACACTTACTAGCACCTCTGTTCCCTGCGGCACAAACACTGCTGATTATCACAATGTATATATTTGGACTTCTTGCCACCATGACACAAATGCCCACTGGCGTGTTATCACAACATGCATATCCACGAACATGCCCAGCCCACCTCAAGCACCTGTGCTCAGCAATATTGCAGGATCCAAAATTGACACGCTGAGACTGCTCAGTAGTAGAGTACTTGCCTGGTGTGCTCAAGGTCCTGGGTTCAATCCCCAGCATCTCCCCCTCCATAAGAAATAACATAAAATAAGAAACTCAAAATTTGTACACTGGGGATGTGCATTCTGACCCGTCCCCACCTCAGTGTACCTGGAATGAGTACAACACAGAGCTGGTCACTGTGGGGGATGCTACAGATGCTGCATGGAGCACACTTGGAGTCCTGTGCCCAGACCCAGGGCAGTCCTCTTTGTCCAGTGCCCAGTTCCCTGGTCTTATGGGTCCCAGCCAGATGCCAGCTTGTTTGCCCCTGAGGTCTCTGCCCCCCAGGGGCGGCTGAGGGCCAAGCTCCAAGGCCTGGGCGCCGCCGTGCTGGCTTCTGCCCTGGACGTGCTCTTATAATCACTGTAATCACAGTGTCACATTTGGCATCATGCCCCTCCGGGAGCCTCCACCCTTGACCTCAATTGTCCCCTTGCTTTTCTTGGGGAAGGGGAGAAAAGAATGGGGTCTCAGAGAGACGGGTGACTCACCCCAAATCTCAGTGGTCCAGCCTCCCCCAGGCTGAGGCGAGACCAGTTTTGAAAGGGCCACAGGGAGGGACCTAGGGGACACCCCCCACTAGCTGGCAGGGGCAAAGAGTAGGAAGTCTTGAGCTCCCCTATCCAGGCTTCAGTGGGCCGGCAGCCCCAGATGTCAGCATCTGGGGGCCTCCACTAGCCGCCCCCATCTCTGGCCAGCCAGAGGGTGGGGCCCAGGCATTCCTGTGGTTGGGAGCCAAGGCTGGAGGCCAATCAGGCAGCGGCAGCTGCTGACGCCACAGCCAAGCTCGGCCCCTCCACACCCATCCTCCCTCGCTCCCTCCTCCTGCCAGCCCGCCTAGAGAGCCGGTGGGGGCCGGGGAGCCGCCGGCCGGCTGGGAGGGCAGACAGAGGGGACCAGAGCAGCAGCTGTGTTGTGGGGGGGTTAGCCAGCCGGGGGGCGCAGGGCGGGCAGGATGCTGCCGCTGCCGCTGTGATGCAAGGAGCCCCGGGAGCCGGCAGGATGGCAGGAGGAAGAGGTATGTGTGTCCCCAGCCCTGTGTGTGCCGGCTGGAGGGGCTGAGTGTGCGGGGGTGTGGTTAGCTGGTCCTCATCACATGATGTTTGTGTCTGGGACTGGAGGGGTAGTTATGTGTGTGTGTGTCTCATTGTGTTGGCTGTGCGAGTGTCTCGGGGTGTGTATCTTCCTGTGTCTCCTTGTGGTGTGGTGTGTGTGTTTGGGTTTGCCCTCCTTTGATAGTTCACCCTGAGATAGGCCCCTGGTCGCTGAGATAGGTCCAGGGCTGGGCTGGGCCAGGGCCACAAGGCTGCTGTCCCTGGGGGCCGCCTCCTTTTTTGGTCGGGCCCAGGCGCCAGCCCTGTCACTCCTCAGCAATGCAGCGTCAGCCTCAGCAACCAGCGCCAAATTCCAGGCCTAGGGGTGGCAGAAGGTAGCCTGAGGCCCCTTAGCCAGTCGGGCTTCTCCTCCAAGCTGGCCTTGAGGGAGCAGGAGATGGGCAAGTTCATCTTTACCCTGGTGGCCTAGGAGCCTTTCCTAGCTCCCCATCCATGGGTTAGAGGGACCTCAGGCTCTCTAGCCTCCACCCACCCGCAGCCCACCCCACCCTGGACACACCCCTCTGCCTGCTTTCTTCCCTGACATCTGCCACCTTGACTAGTCTCTACTGGGGCTTCCCAGCTCCACCCAAGGGGCTGTGGGCATCACTGAACATAAAAGAAGCAGGGAGGAGGCAGTGGCCAGGCTGGTGGGAGGACCCCAGGAAACAGTTTACGGCTAAAGTCTTTCCTCGTCATAGGTCTTAGAGAAATCCCAGCTCTCTTTCTGGAGAGAGTGTGTGTCTCTGTCTCCAAGGCCTCTTCTTTGTCCTCCCTGGGCTCTCGAGCCCACCCTCCTGCTCTTACCCACTCCACATGCCCCTGCTTAGTTCTCTCCCTTCAGTGCCCTTCTGAAGACCTGGACCTCCTAGAGTTGCAGGAGCCCTGCCTAGTGGGACCTGTCTGGCTGTGCTCACCTGCTTCTGTGTCTCTGGCCAGGCCTACTCCCAGGACGCCTACCTGAAGGGGAACGAGCCATATTCTGGAGAGGCCCGCAGCATCCCAGAGCCACCCCCACTCTGCTACCCTCGAAAGACCTACGCCCTGCCGGCCCGGGCGTCTGCCTGGGCCACTATGGTGCCTGAGCCCATCTCAGCACTGCCCAGTGACCCTCGGAGTCCTGCTGCCTGGAGCGACCCAGGGCCCCGTGTCCCACCTGCCACCCGTGCCCATCTGGACAACTCTTCCTTGGGGATGAGCCAGCCCCGCCCCAGCCCTGGTGCCTTCCCCCACCACCCCTCGGAGCCCCGGACATCCCGTGCCTTCCCAGAGCCTGGCAGCCGGGTGCCCCCCAGCAGACTGGAGTGCCAGCAGGCCTTGTCACACTGGCTGTCGAACCAGGTACCCCGCAGGGCGGGGGAGAGACGGTGCCCAGCCATGCCACCCCGGGCCCGCAGTGCCTCCCAGGACCGGTTGGAGGATGTGACTACCCACCGCCCGTGGCCCTGCTCCACCTCCCAGGATGCCTTGAGCCAGCTGGGCCAGGAGGGCTGGCATCGAGCTCGCTCAGATGATTACCTGAGCCGGGCCACCCACTCTGCTGAGGCACTGGGACCAGGAGCACTCGTGTCACCTCGCCTTGAGCGTTGTGGCTGGGCTTCCCAGCGTCCATCTGCCCGTACCTCTGCCTGCCCGACTCGGGACCTGTCGGGACCCCAGGCTCCACCCCCACCTGGCCTGCAGGGCCTGGACGACATTGGGTACATTGGGTACCGGAGCTACAGCCCGTCATTCCAGCGCCGGACTGGCCTCCTGCATGCACTCTCCTTCAGGGACTCACCCTTTGGGGGACTGCCCACCTTCAACTTGGCCCAGTCCCCTGCATCGTTCCCACCAGAGGCCTCAGAACCACCCAGGGTTGTCCGGCCAGAACCCCACACCCGGGCCTTGGAGCCTCCTGCTGAGGATCGCCGTGATGAGGTGGTCCTGAGGCAGAAGCCTCCAACGGGCCGCAAGGTCCAGCTGACTCCCGCCAGACAAATGAACCTTGGATTTGGGGAGGAGTCCCCAGAGCCAGAGTCCAGTGGGCGAGGGGAGCGCCCAGGCAGGAAGGTGACCCCTTTGGCCACTACTGAAGACTCCCTGGCTTCCATCCCCTTCATTGGTGAGTAAGGGTGCGGGCGGCTGTCCGTGTGCTGCTGTACCCCACCCACCTGTCCACCAGGCACAAGGGTCTGGGCTAGGTGCTGATAGGATGTTGTGTTTTCCTGGTCCATCCGTCCATTCAACCCTCTGTCCATCCACTCTTCTGTCATCCTTTTTTCCATTCTACCTCCCATTCATTTATCCTTCCAGCCACAATTCCATCCGCTCTCCCACCTCCCTCCTTCCTTCCATCTGTCTATTATTTCCTTCCCTCCCTCCCTCTCTTTCCTGCTCCCATTCATTCATTTGTTCCTTTCTCCTTTTTATCCACTCATTTGCCATTCTTTCCTTGCCCTTCTCTTCCTTCTTGCTTCCATGCTTCCTTTGTATCTTTCATTCTTTGTTCCTCACCTTTACCTTCCATCTTTCCAGCGAATATTTGTGTCTGGCCCTGAGCTAGGCTCCAGGGTCTCCTGGGGGACTAGAGGGTCAGACAGAACCAGCCAGAGGTGGGATGGGTGTGGTCTAGGGAGTCCAGGAGGACAGGGAAGGGCTGTGTGGGGTGTGGTAGGCACAGAGAGAATGTTGGAAAAAGGACTTTTTTTTTGTACCAGGGGTTTTGAACCCAGGGGCGCTTAACCACTGAGCCACATCCCAGCCCTTTTTTATTGTTTATTTTGAGATTGGTCTCACTAAGTTGCTAAATTGCTGAGGCTGGCTTTGAACTTGAGGTTCTTCTGCCTCAGCCTCCCCAGTCACTGGGATCACAGGTGTGTGTCACCACACCCAGCGGAAAATGGACATTTTGACTAAGATTTGAAGGATGAGGAGTTAAGTGTATGGACGGAGGAGGTTCAGGGAGAGAGACGGGAATATGCAAATTCCTCGGGGTGGGAAAGGCAGGATGCTCTTCCTGCAGCCTTCTGGTCCAAGATGTCTTGTCAGTTGTCAGGGCTTGGACTTCACCTTGAGAGCAGGGGAGACACTGAAGTCTACACCCCCATATTGGGAATGGGGGGGGGCAGGAAGAGCAGGAAGTCAGGGACTTTTTGGATATGCCGGGTTGCAGCTGAGGGAGTGACGGATTAGTGGCCTGAGGCAGGGTGGAGAGATGCCTTCGGTAGCTGTCAGCCAGGGAAGACGAGGGACTGAGGGCAGCTGTCATATTCTGGGTCTGATGGGGAGAGACAGCCTCTGCCCTGAGGAGCTCCCAGTATGAGGGGTAGACACACCCCTGACCTGGGGGAGGCACAATTCATGCTTTCAGAGAGACCCTTAGTCTGATGGGGAGACAGAAGTCCCTGAAGCTTCCACTATGAGAGGGGAATACTGGCTCTGCCCTCAGAACCTGTTCTAAGGAAGCGGCTCCTTCCCACCTCAAGGTGTCCTCCACATGAGGCAGAGGCTCAGCCCCTGCTGAGGAGAGAGAGTCCCTAATCGGTCTTGTGGGCCGGTCGCCCTGGGCGGTGGGTATGGTGTCAGCACGGCCTGCAGTGCTTGCGGAGCCTGTGAGTGTGCTCTGAGCCTGCCGCACAGGGTGCCGGGGTTGAAAAACCAGGGTGGGACAAGCAGGTCAGTCTTCTGCCCCCTTCACATTTCCCTTCCTTCATGCACAGATGAGCCCACCAGCCCCAGTATTGACCTCCAGGCCAAGCATGTCCCCGCCTCTGCAGTGGTCTCCAGTGCCATGAACTCAGCCCCTGTCCTGGGCACCAGCCCGTCTTCACCAACCTTCACCTTTGCCCTGGGCCGCCATTACTCCCAGGATTGCAGTGAGTGCTCCCTGCTCCCCAACACCCATCTCCCCAGCGGCTCAGTCCCCAGAGGCCTCTGCTGGGCCTGTGGCCTGGTGTCTGTTCTCTTCCATCTGGGGCCCCATGGGGAGAGTCACCTCCTGGCCTGGCCCAGAAGGGAGGGCTCTAGGGACACTCCCGACCCGCTGCCCCTCTGACCTGAGGCCCCACGTGGGTGGCTTTGCAGGCAGTATCAAGGCTGGCCGCCGTTCCTCATACCTGCTGGCCATCACCACGGAGCGCTCCAAGTCCTGTGATGATGGGCTCAACACCTTCCGCGACGAGGGCCGGGCACTGCGGTGAGGCTTTGTCTAGGTGTGGGTGGGGCCGCCACAGCCACCCTGGCCATCTTCTCCTGAGGCTAGACCTTGGGGTCTGGTGGGTGACAAGAGAGCCAGATCCTTCCTGTGCTTCCCACACCTTCACCTTCGATCCTTGTTCCCCAGGCGCCTGCCAAACCGTGTACCCAGCTTGCGGATGCTTCGGAGCTTCTTCACTGATGGGGTGAGCAGCAAGAGTGCGCGTGCGGGTGGGAGGGTGTTGGGGAGGGCTGGAGGCCTTGGCATGGGTTCCAGGCCTGTGCCTCCTGTGACCTGAAATGAGCCACTCTGATTCCTTGTTCCTTGCTTCCTGCACCCCTGACTGTCCCAGCACTCGTGTGACCCACCCTCCTCGTGCAGCGTCATCACTTAACAAGACTGCACCTCCCACCCGAGGACACTGCTCTTGTCATCGCCCTTCCCCCAGAGAGCCCCTTTCTCATCTCCCCTTAACTGTGTGACTCACTTTTTCACTCTCCTCCAGATTTTTTAGGCCTGCTCTGAACTTTCAGCCTCCGCCCCTGGCATTTCACGTCTCCCCTGGCGATACTGTGTTCCTCAGCACGGGAGCATTACCAGTGCCCCCTGTCTTCTTACCTGCTGGGCTACCAAGCTAGCTCCCGAGGGCAGGGCTTCCCGCTGGGTCCCCGTATTACCTGCCACTGTCCCTGCCCAGAGGCATTGCTGTTGTTTCGTGGTGTCTTCAGGGGACCCAGTGAGATTGATGGAGAGGCTGGAGTTGCCACCCTCTACACCCGGGAAGACAAAGGATCTGGTCTGTTGCGGCTGCTTTTTTTTCATTTTTTGGATACCATGGATTGAACCCAGGGGTGCTGTATCACTGAGTCACATCCCTGGCCTTTATATATATATATATTTAGTCATAAATGGACACAACACCTTTATTTTATTTTTATGTGGTGCTGAGGATTGAACCTCATGCCTTACATGTACTAGGCGAGTACTCTACCACTTGAGCCACATCCCCAGCCCCGTTTTTATTTTTTATTTTGAGGTAGGGACTCTCTAAGTTGCTTAGGGCCTAGCTAAATTGCTGAGGCTGGCTTTGAACTCTTGATCCTCCTGCCTCAGCCTCCTGAGCGGCTGGGTTTACAGGTGTGCGCCACCGTGCCTGATTGTTTATGAACTGGAAAAGCCATTGTGATCTCAAATTCTTGTATCTTTGGTTAGTTCAACACCTTGCAGATATTGCCACCTGGCTTACTCTTTTATCACTTCCTCAGCTTACTTAACTCTCCCTTGACTTGTCACTTCTGATGCTGGAGTCCTGTTGACACTATCGCTTCCTCTGTTTAACTCCTTGTGGACATGGCAACCTGCTCCTCTCACTTAGTTCTTTGTTGCTGTTCCCACTTCCCCTGTTTACTTAACTCCTTGTTGACACGATCTCTTCCTCTGTTTCCTTAATTCCTTTTAGGTTGTAAAGTTAAAGGAGGTTCCAGATTGGCTTTTTTAGCGTGGTGAAGCATGTGGTCTGGTGGCGTGTCACACACAGCCTTTCCTCCTTTCTGGCTTCTCCATTACGTCTCATGACCTCAACACAAATGGCCCAGAGAGAGAGGAAGCAAGGCCTCTGGGGTTACAGCACGTCAGAGTGTAACCCGGACATACGCCAGGCCCTGGTGGCTGCAAGTGCTGTATGGGGTTCCTGAGATGCTGGTACTGTGGGAGCCACCCTAAATCGCCCTCTGTTGTGTCCTTGCAGTCTCTGGATAGCTGGGGCACTTCTGAAGATGCTGACGCCCCTTCTAAGCGACACTCAACCTCTGACCTCTCAGATGCAACCTTCAGCGATATCAGAAGAGAAGGCTGGTTGTATTATAAGCAGATCCTCACCAAGAAGGGGAAGGTGAGATGGGCGGAGGAATGAGCTGGGGGCGGATGGAGGCTGGCTCCTGTGAACTCTCCAGCTCCTCGACACCTACCTGCCCTGCACCACCCTTGGAGCCAGGAAAAAAAAAAAAAAAAAAAAAAACAGCTTAGATTGTAGCACGAAGGATGAAGGTTAGATGCTGGGAAGGATTCTGGGTATGGGGGGGTACTTAAAGAACTCATAAAAAAGAGATTAACAGGAGAGGAGGTCTTTGTTGTGGGATGGATCTCATCAAATGATGTACTACCAAAACCATCCTGAACGATCCTTGGTTGGCAGACAACCCTGCAAATGGCCACTGGGGCTCATGAAAAATGAGGAGCCAAGGCCAAGGTGATCCTTATAGGGAAGTTGAGGTCGAGAAGAAAACAGAGGCCAGCCTTTTCAGGGCTTCCTCGGACCTGCAGAGGGTTCAGTCTCTATCTTAAAGGCAATTGAAAATCCCTGGGGCTCTTCAGGGAGGGAGTTGCAGCTTTAAAATGACCGTTTCCTGGGGACAAATAATAGAGGGGCCACCCTGGAGGCAAGAAGACCATTAAAAGCCAACGCAGAGATCCAGGTGAGAGACAGGGGGATCCGTACTGGGGGTCTTGGGGAGGTGGTGGGGAGAGTGCTGGAGGGAGAACAGGTAAGAGCCTGAAGAGAGAAGGTGGTTCCCAGCTCCCTGGGGCATGAGCCTAGGTCGGTGCCCTGAGCTGGGAAAAAGCCAGGAGGGAAGGTGGTTTCTGCAGCCCTTAGCTGTCCCTGTAGTCTACCTGCTCACAGCCAGGACAAACCTAGTTTTGACTCTCGATGACACTGCATATTACTCTGAGGGCTTGGGACTCACCCACCTGTGACTCAGTGTCCTCATCTGTAGGTGGAGTTGACAGTAATCTCCACTCCTACATGTGTCGCTGGGGATTAAATGAGCTGATCGAAGTTACGGGTTTACCCAGCACCTGCACCTGGGAGCTGCTGTTCTGCCTTCCTGCCGTTACAGGCCTCTCGGTGTCAGAGGGGAAGAGTCCAGGGCCTCTGTGAGTGCCAAAATACAGGGGTGTTCAAGTCCCTTATATAGAATGGAGTAGTGTCTACATATAACGTACACACATGCTCCCAAACACTTTAAATTCCCTCTAGATGACTTATACTGCTTAATACAATATAAATGCTATACAAATAGTTGTTATACTCTAATTGTTTATGGAATAATGACAAGAAAAAAGCCCATACATGTTCAGTATAGACACAGGTTTTCCTTAAATATTGTTGATCCACGGTTGGTTGAATCTTTGGGCATGGAACCCGTGGATATTGAGAGCTGACCGTATTTGAATTTTCCACCCTGCCCCTGGGGATCTTGTGGTCCCTTGGAAAGAGCATGAGCTCTGAGACAGACAGACTCTGAATTTCTGCCCAGCCGTGTTATCAAGCATATGGCTTTGGCACCCCTTTAACTACCCTGTGCCTCCCTTTTCTAATCTGGAAGATGGGGACAGATTATTCTACTCCAAGGGAGATTGTGAGGATGGAGTGTGACGTATGGTCCAGGCAGGTCTGATACTCACTGCTGGTGAGCACTAAGCACCCTCTGCTTGGGGATCTCTGTTGAAGTTCTAGAAATTTAGGGTGAGGGAACCCTCCCAGCCCTGCCCTCCCAGGGTTCATGACCATCCAGCAGAGAAAACTCACGTTGCCAAATAGTGACAAGTGTCTAGACTGTCAGGATGGGGGGTGTAGAGGCCTCTGCAGGGTAAGGTGGGAGTGGGGGCAGGTTTCCAAAGGGCTGAGACATGAGACATGAATCCATGCTGCAGAGATGGGAGGAGTGGCCTGGGCTTAGACGCCCTCTTGGCAGGTCTGGGGGAGAGGCGGGAGGTGTGCTGGAGCAGGCTGCCTGGAGCGCCCAGGGCAGGAGGTGGGAGATAAGGTGGGGAGTTGGGTGGTTGCCAAAGCACATGGGGCCAGACACCCAAGGAATGCCTGTCTTGGGTTTAAGGTGGGCATGGAGTGGGGAGATAGGGGACAACAGTTGTGTCTGTGACAGGACACAGTGTTGTTACTGTTATCTAGGTGAGCAAGGGCCCTGTTCGAGTCCAGACATTGGGTCAGGAGGAGGTGACCATTTAGAGAGAGATTCTAAGGGAAGGGTGGCCTGGGCTTGCTGATGGCCTGGATGTGCAGAGGAAGGAGGAGGAGGCAGGTGGCTCCTGGCTTCCTGGCTTGGGCTGTGGGAGAGGTGGAGGGTGTTAGGACCCTCCCCTGAGACACTGGGCATTTGAGGAGCAGGTTTGGGGAAAGGGGTTCTGTTGAGACCATGTGAAGTCTGAGGGCCCTGGGGACATACCCTGGCCGGCCAAGGTGTCCTGGGCACAGATGTCCTGGGCACAGAGATTCTTAGGAGACAAGTGACACTGGGGAGCTCCCCTGGAGAGGGCCTTTGTCTATCCTGTGTACACAGGTGCCTGTGGCAGTAGGAACAGGGAAACAAGGCAGTGGACCCATCTGAGCCTTGAGAGATAGTGGAGGGGGGCAGGCCATGGAAACCAGAAAGAGCCAGCAGGATGGCAGTTAGACCAGGAGGGGGGACCTGGGAGGGGGCGGGGGCAGCTGCGTGAGGTGAGCAAGAGGAGCTGTGGCGACAAAGCCTTTCAGAAGCCACTTGAGTGTCCTCCTGAAAGCAGCTGGCTCCTCCTCCCAGGTGCTCTGTCCCCAGCTCCAGGGCCCCTGGCAGCCCAGTTTCAGAGTTTCCTGGGCAGGCCTGGGAACTGGCCCCTTCTTGTTCACTGACCAATTCTAGAGGATAGGGGCTTCTAGTCTCTTGTTGGCAAAAACCCAATGTTGCTTGTCTCCTGGGTGTCATGACCTGGCAGTTAGGGGAAGGGTCTTTGAGTCAGCTTCAGGCTTTCCGTCTGTCCGGGGCCTGATGCCATCTGCTCCAGCAATCCCAGCCTCCTCGTGTACCCTCCACCTCACCCGCTCACCAGTTCTCAGCCTCCTGCAAAGACCACTGACTGTCAGTATGGGGAGGGTGTGACACATCCTTAAGCCCTAGAGCTGGCATTTGAGCTGGATATGGCCATGGAGGCTTGTCAGCGTAACCCTCAGGTATTCTCAGGGTAACTAGAGCCAGGGAGGGGGCTTGACTTGTCCAAAGTCATCCAGCTGGTTTAGTCCCCTGGTGATGGTGTTGGGGGCGGTCTTGGTTCCACCTCATTCTTACAACTAAAATCCTTCTTGGAGGAGAATTCTGGCAATTTTATTGTTAGGACTGCCATCTCTACTTTGAATGTCCCTGTCCTGGCCCAGCAGTGCTGGATGTTGGGCAGGTTTGCAGCTTGGGATCAACCCTAGGGGAGTCAACCCTGCCTTGGTCTGATGGAGCACCTGCCCTCAGGCTGTGCCAAGGACCATTGATTTGGTAAATACTGATGAGCACTTGCCCTGCACCAAGCCCTGGGCTCTGGGCTGTGAGGCATGGAGGTGAGGAGTCAGAAGAGCTCCCTGCTCCTTGGAGCTTGCCATTTACCGGAGTAACTGGAAACCAGAATGAGCTGAGATCGGAGTGGGTGCTCAGAGAAAGTGAGTGGGGGGGAGATGGTGTGTGTGGGGTGAGTGCCTTTAGAAAAAAAATGGCCAAAGGCGGCCTCATTGAGGAGGAGATGTCTGTTATCTTGGAGCTCAGATCTGAGGGGTGAGAAGGAGGCAGTGACATGAGAAAAATGAGAAGAAGGGGCCCAGGGAAAAGGAGCTGTCAGTGCAAAAAAAGTCCCCCCAAAAGGAAACGCAGGACGGCTCACTGTCGAAGCCCTATGTCTTGTGAGTGGGTTTGGTGGGGGGGGTAGGACCACACTGCAGAGGACCTTCAGTTTGGTTCAATGCTCTCAGGAGAGAATGTTTTACAAGGAGAGACATCCTTTCCTTCACCTTTGGAAACGACCATGCAGCTAAGGGCTACAGAGTGGGCTGAGGAGGTGAGTAGGGCCTGGAAGGTCTTTGTTATGGTCTAGAGGAGAGTTGTTGATGACGTGGACACAGTGGTTGTGGCAAAGGCCATAGCACAAGTCGGGCGCAATGGTGCACACCTGTAGACCCAGCGACTTGGGAGGCTGAGGCAGGAAGTTTGCATGAGCCCTCCTGGGGTTTGAAACCAGGCTTGGCAACATAGTGAGAGCCCCATCTCAAAACAAAGCAAAACAAGCAAACAAACAAAAAAGTGGCGATGTGTGACACTCTTGAAAGCTGAACAGTTGTTCTGATGAGTTGGATGTCAAGGGCGAGGGAAAGGGAGGAGTCAGGGGCAACTCCCAGGTTTCGAGGCAACTGGGTGGATTGACTGAACTGGAAAGATGGGGGCGGGTGGAGAACAGGTTTGAGTGTTTGGGTCACGTGCCCTGTCATAGTGAGCAGGGAGCGTGTGAAGTGCCTGTGGGACTTGTAGGTGGAGATACTGAGTAGGCTGTGAGAAGTTCAGAACCAGGCTGGGGCAGACAGACGGCGGGCCAGGGCTAGACATTTTGGAACCACCATCAACAGATGGACTGGGTTTAAAGCCAGGGCGTGGATAGTGGCCCTGTGAGCGGCATGCAAGGAGAGGAGGGCCCAGGAGAAGCTCAGGAGCTCCTCGTCTGAAGGGCAGGTCTCTACCTTCCATTCTGCTGATATTTGGGCCAGAGACAATGCTTTGTTGTGGGGGGCTGTCCAGTGCGTGGTGGGGTGTTTAGCAGCATCCTTGGCCTCCACCCACTGAGTGCCATGCCCCTTTCCCCCACATTTGTTCTCCAGACAAATGTCCCTGGAGGGTGTGTGATTGCCTTGGTTGAGAACTGAAGGTTTGGAGGATGTGGGGAGGGCCATAGAGGAGCATAAGAAGGAGCCAATAGAATCAGGAAGAACCAGGGAACTTGGTGGTCTCCCATGCCCAGAGAGGCCTTGAGAGGGAAGGCGGGGCCAACAGTGTCAGATATCACTGACAGGTTAAGACAGGGCTGGCCACAGCGACTGACTGGCCACTTGGTGGTCCTGGGTGACCCTGAGAGCAGCTTTTGGGCAGCGGATACGGAGTGAGGTCTTGAGTGAGAGACAAAGAAGTGGGAAGAGCAGCTCCCCAAGTGTGTGGGCTGCTCTGGACCAGTTTTGCTTTGAAGGGCGGGTGTAAGGGTTGGGGTGTGGACCAGGAATGGCTTGACAAGAATTTTATTTGAGGGTGGTGCTGGGTAGGGGCCTACGTGTCCTTACAGAGCCTGGTATTGGTGTTCTTGTTTAGAGAGGGGGGAGGTTGGGGTCCTGCGAGGGGCTGAGAGCGCTAGGCAGGTGGAGCTGCTGCAGAGTCGCGGGCTGTGGGCGGGAAGCTGCGCAGAGGCAGGCAGGTGGACGGGCCTCCTTCGCAGTCGGCAGCCCCTGCGGCTAGGGGCCGAGGGCAGGCCTGATTCTCACATTTCGCCATCTCTCTCCCACCCCGTGTCTCCCTGCAGAAAGCGGGCAGCGGCCTGCGCCAGTGGAAGCGGGTGTACGCCGCGCTGCGGGCGCGCTCGCTCTCGCTGAGCAAGGAGCGGCGGGAGCCCGGGCCGGCGGCGGCGGGGGCTGCGGCGGCCCGGCGCAGGTGAGGACGAGGCGGCGCCCGTCTGCATCGGCTCCTGCCTGGTGGACATCTCCTACAGCGAGACCAAGAGGAGGCACGTGTTCCGGCTGACCACCGCTGACTTCTGTGAATATCTCTTTCAGGCTGAGGACCGGGATGACATGCTGGGCTGGATCAGAGCGATCCGGGAGAACAGCAGGGCCGAGGGCGAGGTGAGGCCCGGGCGCCCCCGCCGGGCCACAAGGGCAGGGCAGGCTGCTTTTCAGTTGCTGTGACCTGGGGTGACCCCTCTGAGCCTCATTCCCTCTCCTGAAAGAGGGGCTAGCAAGCGTCCTCCCCTTGCCCACCTGGGTTTTGGTGTGAGAAGGGCACCAACGGTGGCTCATAGCACCTGGCGTCCTCCTGGGCAGTGACTGGCAGTAGGGAGACTAACAGCAGTGGTGATAGTAATTACTATTATTGTGGGGACCCCCTTGGGCAGCCTCTGGCACAAAGAGAGCAGCTCCCGGCCAATCGCAGCCTGTCTCAATCGCCTGGGGGCGGAGTCTTATGGAGCGTAGCAGAACAGGTGCTCCTGCGCCAGCAATCGCTGATCCACAGGGGATGAACAGAGCGACTTTCCATGAGAGGCCAAGAAGCTCAGCTTTTGATTGCAAGTGGACAGGGGTTGAGCCTAGCACTTTGGAAGGGATTTGGGGAGAAATCTTGGGATAGCTGTCCTGGGTAGCTATCATCTCTCTCCATGGCCCTGAGCTGGGTCTCCATTCCCCTTGCACCCTTGGGCCAGGTGCCTGGACACTCCTGCCTAGTTAGGTGGGGTTTTAGGCTTTGAGGTAAGGCTAGTCTCTGCCAATACAGAAGTGTGCCTGGAACTGGGTCCAGGTGGCCGTCTCCTTTGGTCATGGGAGAGGGGCATTAGTGCAGAAGGGCCACAGCCTTTCTCACCAAGGACATGTCTTCTTGCTGATTGGCCCTATCCTCCTCAGGAGAGCATCTTTCCTCATGTAGGAAGGGAAGTACCTGGAATCTGGGCCTCTGCTCTGGAGGCATGGTTGGGCCATCTCCAGCAGGGCACTGTCGGGGGCCCTAAGTCATCTTCATTATGACGATAGCTGTGCCTCATGGGACGCTGCCTCTGTGCCCACCAGGACTGATGAGTGCCATGTACACAGTTCTGCACCCAACCCTGATGTGCCTTGTTAGTCCCTCATGTTTATCACTGAGGTGACTGAGGCTCAGAGAAGTGTCATACCCAAGGTCACACAACTGATAGGGTTACCCAGCAGTCCAGCCCTGGTCTTTTTCACTGCAGGGTCTGTGCTGTGTACCTGGAGATAGAGGAGGGGGATGCAAAGTTGAGATAGGGCCAGGAATAAGCCCTAGGGTGAGTGGGCTGTGGGCACTGACGTGGCTACTCTCTCCTCTCTTTCTTAGGACCCTGGCTGTGCCAACCAAGCTCTGATCAGCAAGAAGCTTAATGATTACCGCAAAGTGAGGTGAGGCCCACCCCTCACAAAGTGGTCCCTGCCGTGGTTGGGGTGGGGAACTCCAGGCAGAGGTCATTCTCTGGGCCTACCTCCAAGTTGCAGGCCGGGAATTGAGGGTCTCCAGGGCCCAGACAGGAATGGGTGGATTGGCTCAAATGGACGGGAGGTCCCAAGTGGCCAGAGGCCAGGGTGGGTGACATGCTGGGCCACCCCAAATAAAAATCTCTTATTTCCCCCTTTTCCCTTGCAGCCATAGCTCTGGGCCCAAAGCTGATTCCTCCCCAAAAGGCTCTCGGGGCCTGGGGGGCCTCAAGTCTGAGTTTCTCAAGCAGAGTATGGCACGTGGCCTCAGGACTCAGGACCAACCTGCAGGGAGCAAGGGTAGGAAGGTGGCTGCTGAGAGGGGTGGTGTGTATGGGGGGCCTGTGGGTCTGCAGGGAGGGGAGGGTGTTCCACGTGTGTCTCAGAGGGCCCAGGGGCTCTCAGAGTTTCAGGGCTGGATCGGCTTGGGCCTCCATAACACGCATGCTAGGTGGGCCTTCCAGCCTCTGCCTGTGTGCCTTTGGAGTGAGAGGCTCGCTCTTTCCAGAAGCGGCTTTGGCCATCTTTTTACACTTTTGGGTGTTAGGAAGTTCTTCCTTTGATCATAACAGAATCTTTGGTTCTTGGTTCTACCTCACAGTTTGGTCCTGAGGCCCACAGCAGTCCTTACATGGCCCTGAGCCTCTCTTCTGTGGAATGGGCCTTCTCATCCCCCTCAGCATCCTGGCTGCTTCTGTGATGGAGTCTTCATAATGTCCCAGTGTGTGAATGTGACTCTGAGGGCATTTGATGCCCCCTGTGCTCTCCTGGCTCACCCTCTCTCTCTCTCTGCCTCCCCCAGATGACAATGCTGCTGCCCCCAGAACACCCTGGAGCATCAACATCATCAAGAAGAACAAGAAGGTCACCCCCAGGGCATTTGGGGTCCGGCTGGAGGAGTGCCAGCCAGCGACAGAGAACCAGGTGAGTCCCTGCTATGCTTCCAGAGCAGATGGGCTGGGGCAGATCCAGACATAGAGGGCCAGAGTTGCAGGGATCATGAGACCAGCTCTGTACCTCACACAGACATGGCTGGGGAACGGCCCAGAGAGGTCCCCTCCCCATCCTTCAGGAGAGCGCAACAGAGCTAAGGCCCAGCCCTTCTCCTTTTTGGTCTATGGCAAGGCTCTGGCATTACTTCTGGCCTCCACACTGGAGGCAGGAAGGGACTTTCCTCCTGGGGCTCCTGGCAGGCACTCTAGGTCTTGTGCTGCCTCTATTTTAGCTTCCCCATCCCCTCTGGCCACATCCACCCTAACACCTCTGCCATATCCATGTGCCCAGCGTGTCCCCCTGATTGTGGCTGCCTGCTGTCGCATCGTGGAGGCCCGGGGACTGGAGTCCACAGGCATTTATCGGGTGCCTGGCAACAATGCAGTGGTGTCTAGCCTGCAGGAACAGCTCAATCGCGGGCCCAGTGACATCAACCTGCAGGATGAGGTGGGTGTGGATAAAGTGGGTGGGAGTGCTCTGCTGGGGAGTCTGTGGTCTACTGGGCTGTGTTCACTGTACCCTGCCATGTGCCATGGTGGCAGGAGAGGAGCTCCACACAGCTAGCCCTGGGGGACACCTGCCCCAGGCTGAAGCCACACAGAATGCAGTCCTGGCCTGGGAGGCTCTGAGACAGATTTTCAAAGGTGGCAGTTTTGTCTGAGCCTTTAGGGTTCACTAAAAAGCAGTGAAAACCAGGCAAGGGACATTTCGGTAACAGTGTAGAGTCAGCATTTGCAAGTAACTAGCAAATTCCCAGGGGAGGGGCCAGCTAAGTAAACACTGTAGGCTTTGGTTTCCCTGTCACATAGCTTCCTCCCGCTTCTCTGCTTCCTCTCCTTTGCAATTTTTTTTTTAAGATTTCTTTTTTAGTTGTAGATGGACACTATAACTTTATTTTGTTTATATATTTTTTTATGTGGTGCTGAGGCTCAAACCCAGTGCCTCACACATTCTAGGTGAGTGCTCCACCACTGAGCCACAACCCCAGCCCCTCTTTGCAGTCTTTTTAACAATGTAAAAACCATGCTTAGCTCAAGGGCCACACAGAAAGGCTGCTGGCTGGATTTAACATCTGGGAGGTGGTTTGCAGACACCTGGCTTAGAGGAAGGGGACCCTTGATGTTTTCAGGATGGTCACTTGGGTGGCTACACCATGGAAAGAGAAGAGAGTGATCTGATGAGATGAGATCAGCCCAGTGTGAATATGGGCATCACTAAGGGTCAGGAGGAAGGGTATTGACAACCATGCTTAAGAGTCAGGACTGGCAGTTCTCAAATGGTGTTCCCCAGAGTCTTAGGGTTCTTGGAGGTGCCATGGGAGGCCAAGAGTATGTCAGGACCCCTTGTCCTTGCTAGAACTAGAGCTGCCATGCTTTGCTCTGCCTGTTATCTTGAGTTTTCAAGTATGAATTTATTTGACATAAGGAGCTCTGGTTAAAAAAAAAAAAAAGATTTTTTGGAAAACTCTGCATCTGGCCAGTGAAATCCCATGAGTCATTTACCTTAATGTCTCCTGTCATACATATTCTCATCTTTGGCAATGGGAAGAGAAGGCAAGTAGGTGAGAGATTGTGGACAAGAGAAAAGGGTGATCTGCCATCGAATCAAAGCATGTGAACAGAGGGCGAAGCTGCTGAGGGCTGGAGCAGGGGCTGAGTCTTCTATCATTTTGTGGTGGTACTGGAGATTGAGCCTAGGTCCTTACACATGCTAGGCAAGTGCTTTACCACTGAGCTACACTCCCAACAATTTTATTTTATTTTGGTACTGGGGATTGAACCCAGGCTGCTTAACCACTGAGCCACCTCCCGAGCCCTTTTTGTATTTTATTTTGAGACAGGGTCTCATTGAGTCGCTTAGAGCCTTGCTAAGTTGCTGAGGCTGGCTTTGAACTTACCATCCTCCTGCCTCAGCCTCCAGATCCAGTGAGATTACAGGTGTGTGCCACTGTGCCCTTAAATTGGGAAGGCACAATTGTGAGTATAATCTGAGCAAAGGCAGTGCTTCAGGACGTGCCTGATGGCTGCAAATGTGGAAGACCTGGAGCAGGTGGACAGGGGAAAAGCCCTGATGAGAATGTGGGCATCACTAAGGGTCAGGAGGCCTTGATGGCCTATTTTAGTCAGCTTTTTTGCTGCTGTGACTAGAAGACCCAACCAGAACAATTATAGAGGAGGAAAAGTTTATTGAAGGGCTCACGGTTTCAGAGGTCTTCAGTCCATAGACAGCCAGCTCTACTCCTCAGGATTCAAGGTGAGGCAGGACATTGGAAGAGTGTAGTGGAGGGAAGCAACTCACATGATGACCTGTAAGCAGAGAGGGAGACTCCACTCTACAGATACAAAACACACACACACACACACACACACACACACACACACACA